AGGTCGTTGCCAAGGGACGAAAACCCAACCCGGATGGCAAACACGGAGGGGGGGGGGGGGGGGGTTAGGGAAAGAAAGGGCTGTGCGTCGTGTCCATTGCCGGGTGCTATCCGTAAACGGCGCAAATGCTGTGAGTGCTGATATGAAGTCGAGAAAAAACAAACAAGTCCATCGCCGACAGAAGAAGGTACTGGGAAGAGGAAGAGAGAACGGAACGGTTGTGAATGTGAAGACAACAACAACAACAACATCGCCGGGCCGTGTGTGTCTCGAACGCGTTTAAGACGGCGTTTTAAGGAGGCGCCCGCTTTCGAGAAAAGCCAGGGCCACCGAACGCAGAGATTATTTCTCCACGAAATGGGGGAGGTGGGGGGCGGTAAGGCTTTTTCTACATGTCGTACCCAAAAGCCTCTCGGCCTTCGTATCGTATCGGGCAGGAATGTGTAAGGAATCGCCAGATCAAATGTTCCTGTCAAAAAGGTTGTAACTCGAATGAGTAGACTTTGAAGCCCTGCAAAACGCCACCAACCGATCGCTAGACACAAAACGATCACGGTTGATGGTTTCTCCAACGCACACAAGTGCTGTGCTGAATGAAAGAGAGGATATAAGAAAAGCCAGAGCTGTGAAGCATAACAGCGAGAAGACAGGTGAAGACAACCGTGATTGTCTTGGCTTCAACTTTCAACTCTGCCAAAAAATCGTGGTCAGCTCACCAGTCTTCCGAAACAGACAGCGGGGGACCTGAGCGATAGCGTCCGCGGGGTGTCCAGTGGACGTGGAAAGGGTCCAAGAGCAAGGGGCAAAGGTAGCCGCCGCATCGGCAGCAAGCAGCAGCAGCAGCAGCAGCAGAGTCAAAGGCAAGAGCGGGACATCGGCAAAGGAAGAGAGGCGTGGACGGACAGCGTATATATGAGATGAGAGGATGGGAGGCGTGAGATCGACACCCGCCTTGCCTGTCCGTGGAACCGATTATGTCACACACACACACACACACAGGAACCCCCCCCCCCCGCCCCTATTGCAACCTTGAAATACCAAAAGTGTCATATTTACTTGCCGCCCAATCGCCAACAAGTCGAAATAGCAAGAGCAGCAGCTTCGCTTGAACTCAGACCCTTCCAAAAAAACAACACAGCAGCAGTTTTAGGCTTCGCCAATCCTCCTGTACATGGGTGACATGTAGTACAAGCCTCCGGGTGCACAGAGACCGAGGCAGTGAAGAGGGGGAGGCAGAGGATACTGCGCACCGATAGGCAGGAGTTCGAAGAACAACCGGCGTGCGGGAGAGCACCGACATAGACACGGACACGCAAGTAAGTGGTCAACGGACAAACGGCACAAAAAAAAGGAGAACGTACCAATTGCCGACGAACAAAAGCCAACCTAGATAAAACACACGATGTACGGACGATTACAGCAGCAGCTCACTCGGGTTGCCCTCGATGCTCTGCATGCACTCCGCCCCGAACTCGAGCGCCTCGAGCCTCTCGCTCCCCCACGACGCCAGGGGCACCGGCGGCTCGAAGCGGAGCTTCTCCAGCGGCGGCAGGGCGTACGGGATCCCAAGGAAGCCGCGCACGCCTCCCCGCAAGACCCTGCCCACCACCCGGCCGAGCTCGGTGTCCACCGCCACGCGACCTTTCGCGAGTTGATACAACCGGTCCGTCGTTTCGTGGGTTATTGTTGAGTGTTGACACGGTTGGGCCGGGGCGCCGTTACGGGTGAGCGTGTTTTTCATCACCCGGGAGGTGTGGTATCGCACAACGAAAATGGAGGGTGCAAACGTAGTCTGCGCTGCTCCCGCAAAAACGCATGTACTCAGCGGAGTACCGTCTTTTGCTTAACGAAAACGCTATGCTTTAGCGCTATGTAATGGTATGCTGTATCGGACAGCAGCAAGAGGCACAGACAGAGAGAGCCGAGAGCTGATTGGCCAACCCTACACAACACTTCTCTCTCTCGGTTTGTTGCTACCTGGTGGCGTGCGCGCTCTCTCTCTCTCTCTCTGGACTCTGAACCAGAGAGCCGTGCCTTTCTGCGCGCCATGCATGCCGTAGAACGAGTAGATGGAAAGCAAACACATTATCCCACTCGCAAGGGGGGGGTACAGGGGTACACACAGAGAGATCAGACTGTAGTACTTCGTATGTGACACGAGATATCACACCCCCTGGACCAATTTTCAAAGCTCGATTTCTCCACACACAGCAGAAAGAGTGGAGACGCCGAAAACGGTGGCGTTGAAACCGGCTCGTCGAGCGCTTTCCGAAAACGTATGCATACAATATGTATTGTTTCATTCATTATGCGCCCTCTTCGTCGTGGAGTAATCGAGATTTGAAAATCGGTCCAGAGTGGTGTGGTATCTTGTGTCGCCTAATGGCGGTAGACTCAATCTCTGTTGGAAACTTGGCGACATATCTAAAGCAGCATGACCGTATTGAACTTGGCTGAACCATGTCTCCCCCCTCACACTCAGCTCACCATTCCCGTGCACAGCCCTGCTACTGCTACTATCTTTGCGCTCTCACGGCACGCGACAGCAGTTCGCACATGAACGACGAGGGGGTACAGGGAACTTCAACCTGCTGTATCGCAACTGCAACATGGCGTGGGCACATACGCAGCAGAGCAATTGGGCAGAAAAAAAGTGGAGCAGCGAGCTCCTTGCTGCGATGTGAGAGTGAACCCAAAACCTCCACCAACTCTGCCTAGCCCTGCTGCCAGCTCTTGTCTCTCTCTTGTCTCTGGGCAGCCCCTTCGCTGCTCACCGTAGTCTTGCTCGCTCTGGAAATACTCGAAGGCGTCGATAGTCGCAGCTGAGCGGTGTATCAGCAAGGGGATTGCCATCGCCACGAAACGTGGCCACGGGGGGATCATTGCTCGGAGTCGGGAGCGGGCCATCGCATACAGCAGCACAGCTGGGGCAGACTCGGTAAGTGCGCTGAGAAGCAGTGCCCATTGCATTGAACCAGAGCAACCCAGAGTTGACCAGAGGGCCGGGGGGTCCTCCGTCATGCAGAACGATTCAGGGTACATACGTACCCCACGCTCCGCCCGACTGTTTGATATACGGGGCCACGGAGAATTGCGCACACCGCACACAGCACCTGTGGACACTTCGCACGGCACGCGATCGACAATCATAGCAAGGGTGCGTGTTGTGCTCAAAATTGACGGGGTCCGGCTCCACCGCGCGTCCACTTCGCCTGCAAATCGAGCGTGCTTTGGTGAGCGAATGCGGAGAGATTTGTAGGACGTTCTTCAAGATCTAACCTTATAGAAGACTACAATAGACTGCTGGAGATTGATGCGTTCTTCCAGCAGCGGCCTGGCCTCGCGCATTTGCCGTTTGCATGTTGGCTGGTAGGGCACAGCCGACGAATTGGCGAGACAGGAAGATATGTGCCCCACAAAAGAGGTCCGCGCGCCGCCTGGCAAACTGACAAGCTGGCAAGCTGGTTTCTTCTTGCTTGGCATATTTCAAACTCGAGATTCCTGGATTATTTGACTGGATTGTCGGGATTCCCGATAATTCGAGTTTGAAATACCGCGCGGAGATTCTCGAACCATGGGTCGGGGATTTCCGGCTGGATCTTTTGTCCCACGATTTTGTTATTTTCCCCATTTCCGCCGGAGTCCGCCGAAGCCCGCCCGAGAATTCGGTGCATTTCTTCCGCCACGTGAGCATGCCTTCTAATCTCTTTTTGCTGAGATGGCGACGACCTGGGAAGCGCCTCAAAGCTCAAGCTAGGTTTTCTGCCTCAAAATTTTGATGTTGCACGACACAGCCGCAGCTGCGTAGCATGTAGATTGTCTGCGGCACAATTTTTCACGCTGCACACAACACACCAGCCGCGGATGAGTCGCTGCCGAATCAAGCAGCAAAGTTGTTCGCTCGTTGTGAGGGAATTACCCCGCGGGCACAAACTACAACACAATCTGGTGCAGCAGCAGCAGTTGAACAGCGGGTAACAGTCTCCGTGAGGCAATTGCTGCTGTGCTATTTTTCTCGGCATGATTCAGCGCACGATGAGAAATTTGTCATTTCGTTGCGTGCGGTGACTCTCTGCCGCGTGTTCGTTTGATTCTTAGCAAACGGCCAGCGTACGCAACGGTAGCGGCGGCAGGATGCAACGTGCCCCCGCCAGTGGAGGCCAAGCGGGCCTTGCAGCAGCAGTAACGGTGGAGCCCACCGCGGTAGAGGTGCGTATCACAGCAGTACCTACTTTCACACGAAGACACCATGTTTGATCAACGGTGTTTTTCGCGACCTTCAGCTCAGAAACCTGGTACAGCTGTAGTTCCATACTCGAACTCCCTCCCCGCCCCCCCTCCCCTTCGCAGCGGCTTGAACGTGTTAGTAAGCTGCTCGCCGAAAAGAAGCCTTGGCCCGCCTTTCTCCACATCGGAGCTCGTGCGACGGAGGAGTGAAGCATCCTCGCCCAGGAGGCTCTGACATGGAGGGCGACGGCTACAGTTGGGGTGCTCGACGTTGCGAGCGTAGGGCCCTTGGTGCCTGTGTGCCAGGCATTCAAGGGGTTGATCGAGACCGCCGAGGGTGCAGCGGAATCCCAGGACAAGCTACAGAGCTACAGAGCTTGGTGTCTCGGTGCGCGTTCCTCACCACCGTCTTGATCCAGCACGGTCGAGCGGTGGGTTCCCTCGCCCAGGTGCAAAAGCCCATCCAAGACTTCGTCGTCATGACCAACGAGCTAGCAGGGTTCGCGGCTAGGCGGGCCAAGGGCGGCAAGTGTAGGGCGTTTTTTAGCCATCGCCCCGACCTGAGCGCCCTGGCCGACTTCGAGGAGTCCCTCCTACGGGTAAGGAGCGACATTGCCTTGGTAGACGGGCTGGAGCACCACCAGTTGTTCTTGGCGGCGCTTCCCTGTTTGCGCCCCCAGGCCACTTTATGAACGGTCAGATCTCACCGGGCATTTGTTCCCTCGCATATGCAACAGTGTCGCCAAACGAATTTCTCTCTTCCCCTTCCCGTCACATTCCAGGGCAAGTATGAGGAGGCTGAGCCTCTGTACATGTTCTCGCTGGCTATTGACGAGAACGTTTACGGTCCTGACCACCCGGAAGTCGCTAAAGACCTCAACAACTGCGCGGGGTTGTTAAATATCGAGGTGAGAGCCAAGCCATCCCTTCTAGGTGCTTCTAAAATATAATAAATATTCCTCCGTAATTCTAGATCTCAATTTGACTTAAATCCGTGTCTCTGCGGCGCTGTGTGTCGGGTATTAACGTACATGTGCTGAGACCTTGCCACTCTATTAACAGTCACAAGCCATACGAGAAAAGGTTCTGTGCCTAGAGCACCCGGAAGTGGCCCAGGCGCTCAACAACCGGGTGGACATGGTTCAGAAAGTGTTTTTCCGCGGTTGTAGATCCCACTTAAATTGTACTCCACATAACTGTGATACATCGCTCTGCCATACTGTGTGTGACTTACACTAGGGCAAGTACACTGAGGCCGAGCCGCTGTACGAGCGGTCCCAGGCGATATTCGAGACGGTCTTGGGTCCGGAGCAACCTGATTTGGCAGCTGTCCTCATCGTGCGGGGTTGTTGAAAATCTAGGTGAGAGCCAAGCGATGCTTCTACATGCTTGTGGAAGAAACAACCCCTCCGCAATTTTTGACGTCGATATGAGTGAAATGCGACTCGCTGTCGCACTGTTTATCACGCATCATGGTAACGTAGTTTATGAATGGTCGTAAACCTTACGAGGAAACTTGTTGAGCCTCGAGAACCCCAGTGTGTGGCCCAGGCGCTTCACAACAGCACGGGTGTGTTTCATAAATTCTTTATCCGCGACCAGTTGTAAACCCCACATTGAATGCACTATGCGTGCAACTCTGCCACGCTGTGTACGACTGCATGCAAGGGCAAGTACGCTGAGGCCGAGTCAATGTACGAGCGGTCACAGGCCATACGAGAGAAGGTGCTAGGTCCGGAGCATCCTGACGTAGCCACAACGCTCAACGACCGGGCGGGGTTGTTGGAGAGCCAGGTGAGATCCCAACGAGATGCTTTACATGTTTCTAAAACATTGAACCCTCAGCAGTTCTAAATCTCAATGTGCCTGGATTCCGACTCTGTGCCATAACATATCAAGAGAAGTACGCTGAGACGAGGCCACGTTTATGATCGGTCGCAAACGACACGAGGGTACGTTTCTGGGCATGCAGCACCCAGATGTCGCCCTGACATTTGTTCTCTCGCGCGTATAGCGTCACCAGCCAAACATCTCCCATTCCCTTCGTGTTATATTCCAGGGCAAGTATGAGGAGGCTGAGCCTCTGTACAGGCGATCGCTGGCTATCGACGAGACCGTTTACGGTCCTTACCACCCGTCAGTCGCTAGAGACCTCAACAACTGGGCGGGGTTGTTGCAGAATCATGTGAGCGCCAAGCGATGCTTCTAGAAGACAATATCCCCCGCAAATTTTAGTCGGCAGGTTGGGTGAAATGCGATTCTGTCGCGCTGTTAACCACGTATCATGGCAAGTATACTGAGCCAGAGCCACTCCGTGAACGGTCATAAACCTTACGAGGGATGTTTTTGGACCTGTAGGACCCGGGTGTGGCAGCAGGGTGTGTTTGAGAAAACGGCAATGCTATATGCGCCGGTACCGGCGCAAATTCTTAACCGCGCCGGTACCCTTAACTCCGCGTGTAGACCTTTGATCGACTTCAAACAACTTGCGCTGTGTAGCTATGGCCCACAGCTATTACGCGAGCCATTCGGCGTGCGAATCCACCCCGTGGTTGCAGAGTTATGCTCGAAAAAGGGGGCTCAGCAGGATCGCAGCAGGAACGAATCCGGCCGTAACTCCACCCTCAGACCTCTAATGAACACCAAACAAGTTGTGCTGTGTTGCTACGGTCCGCAGCTATCATCCGAGCTATTGGCT